ACTATTATCTGATTCGTTTACTGAGAAAATCTTTTTTCAAAAATAGTGAAGAGACTGCAACCTAATCCTATTTGACTTAACCACCAGATCAAATTTACTGGTGTTTCCCCTAGTTAGCCTGCAGGCGACATCCTCAAAGTTTTCCTTAGCCTCTTCCTAGATTACAGGTTTATCATGGACTCAAAAGGAATCATAACTCTTCATCAGGGAAACATTGCCTGTTTATATTCTGCAGGGCATGAGCAGCAAATCTTTTAATGAGACAGGCCATTAGACTTTCACTTGGCAAGGAAAGAGAAGCTCAACAAACTAGTAAATGACTGTCATTCTTTGACTTACTACCAGGGACCTTAACCCCCTTATACACTTTGCCTTTAATCTTTGCAACAACCATGCCAGACGGGCTCAGAGACAAGTTCAGGCAAATGTGCCCAAGATCACCCTACAAAGTGGAGGGGCTGGGACTTGAAATTAGGACTTTGACTCAATATCCTGTCTTCTTAATTCCTCCATTGTGCTACAATTAGAAAGCAGTTGCTCTGGTTGTGATCTCTCAAGGCTGTTTGTGGCATTTTAATTTTCATTCAAAAAGAATTTCTCTAAACAGCAACTTGACACGGGTCCTCTCAAATTTGCTCAAACTTGCTGCCCCTTGAAGCCAGGCTGTTTTCCTTATAAATTAGCGGAAAGAAGCCAGGGTTCTCAGGTGATTTAGTGTTGATTTTAGAACTTTATGTTCGGTCTCTCTCCTTTCTTCAAAGATGGTGATGCTCTACTGTGCTGGAAACCAATACAAATCAAAGCCTGATCACAGTTAATAGGGAAGAGCATCAGCTGGGCCTCATGGTACATGCTGTGTGATCGAGGGCATCCCAGGAGAAATGGCCCCAAATTGGAAGGCACTAGAAACTGATACAGAATGAGAGGAAAAGAGAAAAAGAGTTATGGTCCCTGAGAGGAACCACCAACAAACTGTGCTCATAGACATATCTAGTCCTTGCTCGGACTGGATTCTGTTTGGGGGATGGCCTCTTCTCACCTCTTCATGAACTGAAATTAGCATTTTCACATCCCCACTTGGGTTGTCTCCTCCGCAAAGCGCTTGTGTCTCTTCCTGAATTCACCCCTTGTTCCCCACGCCGAAATCCTATCGCACTTACACCTGGCTCACACATTTTTGTTCCTCATTCATATATTCTCTTACATGTTTGTTGGGCTCCTTTCTCCAACTGGATTTTAAACTCCTTAAGGGTAGCAATGTTGTAAAAGTAAATGGAACACTGATGACACACAGGAGTTCAAGAAATACTGGTTGGATGATTCTCTCATTTTTATACACTTTGGTTGGGAAATCATCATACTTGAAGGCATTTACTAAATGAAGACAGTCTTTTCTTTCATGGACACTTCTTTAAGGGGCTGACATTTCCTTGCTCTGCTCTCAAAAGGACAAACTTAAGTATTTCCCCTAAAGCAGCACCATAGTAGTGATTCCTTCCCCCCCCCCCCCCCATTGATAGAGCTTGGGGAAGAAGAACGGGGTCAGGTAAGACTACAAGACAGGGGGTGTATTTACATAGGCTGGTGAAAGAGGACTTTGGATGTTAAACCATTTTCTAGAGTCCTGGAGCTCAGTAAAGTTTACCATTTGTATAGGAATCTTTTAGCTCTTGGATGGAAAAAACTCTTTCCTGTAAAACTTCATGGAATTTCTGCTCCTGGCAGGGGCAACAGTTATTCATTGTGGATCTTGAAAACTGTGGCATGGTTATCCAAATGGGCACCAAATAAAGCGAGAAAAGAAAGGACTCAACTACATATTTTAAAATTATGTTTGGTTCCAGGTGATGGGCTGGGCAGGCAGTGACTGGCACTGACGGGACTCACCCTTTACTCAGACTCAGGGGATCACTTCTGATCTAAAAACCTTGTCCTCCAAACCAGCTGCTGAAGAAACAAGCGTCAAGTCCAAGACCTTACTTCATATTCTGGATGACCACACATTCCACTTGCATCTCTGTGACCCAGCAGTGGCTTCGGTCTTAAATGGGAGCTTCTGTGTAGGGTCCTGCTGGGGATGGGGGTTTTATGTTTGAAGATGGGTCCATTTCTTTCTCTGGATGATTTTGGCCATCTTGTCTTCCCCCTTTCAATCACCTGGGCTTGGCTGAGTGACAAACTCATACCCCTAGGGATCCATCTTATCTCAGAAGAGTCCTTTCATTATTAGGGGACTCTGACGAGGGAGCCAACCCTCTGGAGAGAATTTCCAATGAGTTCAATAATTTTAACTCAGCTTCCACTAGAACAGCAGCTAACATTTAGGAAGCACTTACTACCTGCCAGGCCTTCTGCCAAGCACATTTTCATTAATGCTCATGATGCTGCTAAGAGAGATAAAGTAGTATTATTCCAGTTTTACAGATTAGGAAATTGATGCACAAAGGAGCTAAATCACTTGGTCAAGGCCACACAAATAGTTGACAGTGAAAGTCAACTTAGAGACCCAGAACAGTGCCTGGCAGGTTATACATGATCAATGAATATTTGTTGAATAAATGAATGAATGGTCCTGGATCTCAAATCTCAGGGTGTTCATAATTTTGTTGTAGACATATAGTATTTTCAAGTGAGAAAGGGAATAGCACATAACAGGTGATAAGGTGGTGTTTATCAAGCCTCAACTGAGCAGAAAATTTAGCGATGAGTACTCAGGGGAGATATAAGGTGTAAATGGAGGCTGGAGCGGGATGGGAAGGTACAGGGGACTTGGCTCTGAGTTCTTTGCATTTTGCAGTACATTGGGAAGGACACCCTTTCTTCTTGGCTTCCAGGCCTAGGACTTAAGCCATCAGTCATAGTCCTGTATCTGCCACACCACAGGTTTGGTCCTGAGATGTTTCCCTTCCTCCTCCTCATGCCCTTGTGCCTCAAGGGCATGGCTGTTTCTCTGTGGTATGGTCCGACATAATGAGAAATACAGGCCCAAACTGCTGGATCACTCCAAAGCAGGGAGGAATCTGGAATGGAATTGTTAGGTTTGGGGTATTTTAATCATTTCCTGCAGGTTGGCAAGTTCCAGAAGGGTCAATTTTTAAAAGAAGCAGGCGGGGTACACTTGAAGTAATTTCACTGCTTCTCCAGAAAGTTTTCATATTTGATCTCCAGATTTGATGTTCCATTGAGGGGTGTCTGAGACTTGGTCATTTCTCAGTGGTGGGGTGGCACTTCTCTGTGATAACTCTAATTTCTTACTTTGGTCAAGTAAAACTTTTCCACTGGGGCACCTGGGTGGCTCAGCCAGTTGAGTGTCTGACTGCAGCTCAGATCATGGTCTCATAGTTCGTGAGTTCAAGACCCACGTTACGCTCGCTGCTGTCAGCACAGAGCCGACTTCAGATCCTCTGTCCCTCTTTCTCTGCCCCTCCCCAGCTTGTGATCTCTCAAAAAAATTTTTTGAAAAAAAAGTAAGATTTTTCCATTTTCCATACCCACTGCACTGGCTTAGCCTGCTTTTAAGAAAACTGGTTTGCTCCTAACACAGGATGGAAATGTGTGTGTGTGGGCGGGGGAGACAGAGGGGCAAGTTGGGAGGGAATACTGTCCATCAAGAGGCCGGATCTCCCGCTTATTTATGAGATGACTCATTTTTATTTTGTCTGGCTTCAGTGCATGCCTGCTAGTTCCTGTCCACCTGTGACAGCATTAGGGATACAAGACCCAATTAGTGAGGGGCTCTAATGACAGGTCCTCCAGTGCCCAGGCAGGAGGTGACCACAGTATCTGCCCAAGTTCACCATCAGGTCAAACACATAAGCTTTTAGAATGGTTCAATGGAAGAAATGCATTTGGTTAAAACAACTGGATATTCAGACAAAGGTTACTTTGGAACTACTCGTGCTAGGTGCTGAAGTCTGTATAAGAGCTCAACTTAGCCCTGACAGTTCTCTGATGGGCTGAGCATTGAGATACTGACAGCAGGAGGGGGCAGCTGCACTGGCCCAAGGCTTCCCACCCATGGCCGCACACGAGAACCTTCCCAGGAGGCCTTGCAACCCCCAAAGCCAGGGCCCACTCCAGACTTGGCTTCAGTTGTTTTGGCATGACTCCGGGGCATCATTAATTTTTTTTTAAAGGCTTCCAGGTGGGGCGCCTGGGTGGCTTAGTCGGTTAAGCGTCCGACTTTCGCTTAGGTCACGATCTCGTGGTTCGTGGGTTCGGGCCCCGCGTCGGGCTCTGTGCTGACTGCCAGCTCAGAGCCTGGAGCCTGTTTCAGTCTGTGACTCCCTCTCTCTCTGACCCTCCCCTGCTCACGCTCTCTCTCTCTCTCTGTCCTAGAAATAAAAAAAAAACATTAAAAAAAAAAAAAAGGCTTCCAGGTGATTTTATATGTAGCCAGAAATAAAAACCACCTGTCATTAAGGATCCAGAGAAGGAGTGTCTGAGGAGCTGATCGAATACAATCCCACACCTGCCTCACAATCCCTATGGCATAGCACCCTCTCCCAGCACCTCCACCCTGCTTCATCAATTTTCCATTTTCTCCTGAATTACTTCCACCATCATATTAACAAGCTGCAATTTCTCCCATTCTAAATAAAACTCTCCTTATACTCCATATTGCCTTTTAGTTACTGCCTCATTGTCCTGCTCCCTTTGAGGGGAAAACTCACTGAGATGTGCTTTTTGTGTGTCCGTCCAATTTCTTTCTGCACAATTCTTCTTGGACCCAGTCCACCCAGATACCACCCCCCCCCCCGCCCCCGACTACTGCACAGAACCTGGTCCTATCTTACCATCCAGACATGCAGGTGTGTTTAGGTCTCATCCTTGCTCAGTGATGGGGAACATGGAGAAGCCCGATACCCCCTGGGGTCCAGCCTACAGCTGGCCCTGTGGAGCTGGGATCAGACCTTGGTGCACAGAATGCAGAACTGGAAACTTCCCAGGGAAATGACAATGACAATAAAGCCTTCAGTAAAGGGAAGGTGATGACTTACACAGCGTGTAGTGGTGATGATAACAGAGCTGGAGATGAAAGAGAGGCCATCGTTCATGCTGACCTGAAGCGCGGCTTTCCTGCAATGACAAGGGAGCCAGAGATGCTCAGCGGGGTGTGCAAGGAGCAAGGGCTCATGAGCTGACACTGAGGTCCCCTGGAAGCCCTGCTCCTCACTACCCTTGGGGCTGTGGTCTCTTCCCCTGGGGGCCTGAGAGGCCTCTTCTGTAAAATGTAGAGGACGGTCTCCAGGGCCCATCTACTGTAACCTTCTAGAGATGTCAGGACACCCTTGGCTGGTGTAAAGGCATTGCATTCAGCCCTTCTTACATTGCAGTGAATTGCATTGCATGGGAAAAGCCTGCTGCCATTTAATTTACCTGTTACATGGTCGTAGGAAGAAGTATTCCCAAAACATGGCTCGAGTCTACGGGGATAAACTTGTCAAGCTGTAAACTTCATGTTGCGTTGTTATTACTGGGGCTGTCAGGAACTGACCCTGATGAGAGGGTTTGTTACCATCCTGGCAAACTCATGGAGGTGAGTGGTAAGTTACCTTCCACCACCTTCCATCTCCATGAGACTCACTGAAACCTGAGCTCACATTCTGCTTGTATTTGGCAGTACGGAAACAGGGCTAGTTTGTGGAATCGGTGGACTTGAAGACCAGTGTTAGGCAACCAGACTTGGAGGCTTTACCATTAGAACAAATGATCGAAAGCAGAATTCAGATGAAAATGTTTAGTGTTGTTTCCTCAAGACTACTATTCTATCTTCAGCCTGTTACAGACATGTTTACAGAGAAACGAGTTTGGGTTCTCTGACAAACACAGCTTCTCTGCTTTCCCAAATAGTTCTTTTCTGGCTTGGGGTGCTAGTGCTAATTCTCTTCCTTCTGTTGAATATTTTCATCACACTTCACCAGCACCTATTATGATCGCACCACCGTGAGATTTCCCACCATAAATTAGTTCACAGAACCCTGTGCAGTCTGGGTGAATACTCAATGTCTGGAGGCGCAGAGGAAGGAGCACTGAGCTTGGCCTCAGAAGGTCTGAACCTGGGATTTTCAACCAGCTCTGGACCCACTTAGCCCCTTTGAGCTTCCTTTCTGAGTTTCCTTATCTCTAAGGGGAAGACAATCATCTAACAGGGAAATTACAATGACAGGGCAAGGTAAAGTTTGTGAGAGGAAGTGTGAGAGCTTTCTAGAAATGTAGTTGTGTGAGGCACACATGAAGTGAGACACACCTTTGTTCAAATCTAGACTATTTGCCGACTGCAGTGTGACCTTGGGCAAACTACTTAAATTTTCCCAGCCACAGATGCCACATGTGTAAAACTGGGATGGTGTGAGTACCTGGTTCTTCGGGCACTTGGGAGGATAAAGTGAGATCCCGTTTGTGAAACATTTATCCTGGTGCTTTGCTCACTGTAAACATTGGCACCATTACCATTACCTGGAGAAGTCTAGACAAAGGCTGCATTATGACAATGAAGACAGACATTTTCTTCTCCCTCTGTTCCCTCTACCTTCTCTCTGGCTCCTCCCTGGCTGTGAGGTTCAGTTGCTGGTACAAACTTACATGCCAACTTCTTTTAAGATAGGTGCTGGACACAGCAAATAAGTATCTTCCACAGTGAAGGGCTTCTCATCTGTAAAAAGGAAGTCAGTGGATTAAGAGGAGTGAAGTGACTTTAAAATTTCACATTCAGTGACTCCTAGAGACCACTGGCCAAATTCTGGGAGACACTAGAGAAACAATAACTCTTTGAAACAGAAACTAGACTTGACTCATAAAACCCACTCAAGTAAACACACTTAGGGTATCCTGCCCGAACACTCGTCCCTGACCTCATACATCCAGATGAGTCAGTCAGGGAACACACAGAAACTGAGCTCTTACCATAGACCAGGCATAACCGAGGGGAAACTAGAAGATACGAGACTGGTCCCCAGGGGGCTTCAAGTCTGAGTCTAGTTTGAGAGAGAAATCATATTCATGGAGTTCATGGAGAAAGTTTGCTGACGCAGCATTGTTTACAACAGCCAGGACATGGAAGCAAGCAACTTAAGTGTCCATCCATGGATGAATGGCTAAAGAAAACATGGCATATATATATATATATATGGCAAAATATGTACATATATTTCAGTCATAAATAAAGTAAATCTTGCCATTTGTAACACCGTGGATGGGCCTGGAGGGCATTATGCTAAGTGAAATAAGTCAGAGGAAGAAAAACAAATATCATGATCTTACTTTTTTTGTCAAATCTAAAAAAGAAAAAAAATGAGCTCATAGATTCAGAGAACAGATTGATTGTTGACGGGGTGGGGGGTGGGGGATGGGCAAAATGGGAGAAGGTGGTCAAATTTCCAGTTATCAAATAAGTCATGAGACTGTAATATACAGCATGGTGGCTATAGTTCACAACACTGTACTGCATACGTGAATGTTGCTAAGACAGTAAACCTTAAAAGTTCTCATCATAAGAAAAAACTTGTAACTATGTATGGGGATGGATGTTAACTAGATTTATTGTGGTGATCATTTCACCTTCTACACAAATATTGAATCGCTATGTTGTATATCTGAAACTAACATAATGCTATTCGTCAATTATATCTCAATGTTTTAAAAAAGAAAAAACCTGCTGACATACATGAGAAGTGGCTAAGCCAAAATATCATTTGGCTTCAGAAGACCGAGAGCCCTCTTTAGGTGGGTGATGTGGTAAGGTGACAGGAAACACAAAACCCAAGATGTACTTTGGTGAGAGATTAGCAAGAGGCTTTCCTGGTGGGAGGAAATGCTGTGAGCAAAGGCAGAGTGCAAAAATGAAATATTCCAGGGTAGGAAGGAAGCAGGGTTTGAAAGGATCAGAATAGGAAGAAGTGTTGGTCTGAGTTCTTTGAGGAAGACTGAGGAATTCAGACATAAGTCTATTGGCCACGAAAAGAACTTTGGAGGTTTTGGGAGAAAAACTTGAAGTGATGATGTTGGAAGTTTCGGCAGATGCCGCTGTGAAAGATCGATGAAAGTGAGGGGACCCAGGAAGTGGGAAGTTCTTGCTTTTATTCTATGGGATGACTGGGGAAATCTTGAGCAGGTTTCATCTCAAGCTCTTTAAAAACTTAATTGTGTCCTAGACTCTGGGGCCAGAAGCAGGGCTGCGAAGTTCCTAACTATAGTCAGTATATAGTACTCATTCCTTGATGGTGCAACATTTAAGGGTGCATGCTCTGTACTAAGAATTGAGGTAGGACCCGTGGGTGAGATGGAGATGAATAACACAAGTCCCTTAAATCAGCTGTGAATATGCATGCCTGCCCTGGAAGACAGAAAAGGATACATGTATCATTGAAGGACAGCATTCTGCTATTGGCATTTGTTATGAAACTGATGTGTCTAATGACACTGGACTGTGCTGACACGCAACTCTGAGTGGGGATTAGGAAGGCTCGTGCCCTCCATGCTTGGGTTGAAGGAGCAGAGCCACCTGGGGTGGGGCTTAAAGGACACGTCTGAGTGTTGAGCACTGTGCCCCCATGGAAGCAGGACATTACAGTCCCCTCTGATGTCTAAGCAAATTTTCAAATGGTGACAAGTCAGGTTATTCCAAATCATTCATTCACTCATTCATTCATTCAACAAATATTTATTAAAGGCCTACTTTGAGCTAGAGACACAGGCTATGAGAAGAGAAACATGGTCTCTGATTTAATGGATTTTACAGGAGCTGCAGGGGGGGATAGCTATTAAGCGCTTTCATTTTTATTAAAAAAAATATTCTTCCAAACATCTTCCACATGTCAGGCATAGTGCTGGGCCTTGCAATGAACAAAACAGATGAAAGCACCTCACTTAAGGAGCTGACATGCTAGTAACTACACAAGTTACTAATTCATTATAATTGTGATGAGCACTAAGAAAGAGAAGGAAGGTCAGGGAATGCTTCCCGGAGGAGAGGCCATGTAAGCGAACACCCACTGTCAGGTGAAGAGGACACGGAGTGAGGCAGGTGGCCCTGCAAAGATCCTGGGGCAGGAAGGAGCCTGGAGCGTTGAGAGCTAAAAGGAGGTCAACAAGCCTGCTGAATTTGAGTGAGACAGAGATTCAAAATGAGGGCAGAAAAGGGAGCAGGGCCAGATGGCCAAGGCCTTGTGGGCCATGGTGGGGCAACAGGAAGCTACTGGAGGTCTCTCATATTCAGAACTAGCATTTGCAGATTATGGGATGTTGCTGGGGCAGCGGAGGCATGCTGAATGAAATTATGAAGCTTTATGATGACAGTGCTGGATCACACAGTGCCTGAACTGAGCATTTTTATTTTCAAGGTCTTTCCCAGTCTCTAGTGACAATAATGGCAGTGGGACTCTCCCACGACATCCTGTGTGTCAGCTCTCTCCGTGCACTTCTAGCATACAGAATAGTTGAATTTAACCTACTAGCCATGCTCCCAGGGAAGGATATTCTTCCTTTCATTTTATTTATTTATTTATTTATTTATAATAAAAAAATGTTTATTTATTTTTGAGGAGGGGCTAGGGAAGAGAGAGAGGGAGACACAGAATCTGAAACAGGCTCCAGGTTCCATCTGTCATCACAGAGCCCGAGGCAGGGCTCGAACTCAGGAACCATGAGATCATGACCTGAGTCGAAGTCAGACACTCAACTGACTGAGCCACACAGGCACCCCACTTCCCTTCATTTTAAAGGTGAGGAACAGATGCAGAGAGGGGAAGAAACTTGCCCAACGTTACCCAGGGCAGCTTAGATCCTCACCCAGGCAGTCTGGCTGCCACCTCTTGATAAGAGCCATGCTTTATCACCTTCTATAAAACCTTGTGAACTAAGTCAAGGCAAGGGCGTTGGGCTCATTTCCCAGATGCAAAATAGAGGCTCAGAGAGGCGACAGTGACCCATGGTTGCACAGCAAGTGAGAGGCAAAGCCAGGACTAGATGTGAATTCTCCATTATTCTTCCCTTGCCAAGAGTCTCTCCATTCCAGGAAAAGCTTGTATTAGAGAATAAACCAAACTCAGGATAGGCGTGGCTGACTAGAAACTATATTTATTTTCTCTTGGCCATCGCTTACTCTGCTGCACATGAACTAGTAATACCTGGGAGTGCATATCCCTGACCATGGAGCCACGGGGCAGCCACAGAGTGGCCACAGGAGGCCTCGTGACTTAGCTGCATTCTGTGGGAAGAGCCGGTCATGCAGAGTGGACATCCCAGTCGGAGACACAAGGGAGACTCCAGGGCCCAGCAGACCCATGTGGATGTTAGTGCCCAAGCTACTTCTAGAGCTTTCTCTGAACAGCGTCTTCCCTGCCCTCCATCCCACTGGAAGGGGGTGAGAGGACAAGACTTGACTCTCCCGACTCCCTTCGTTTTCCTTTCCTGCTTAGAAGACCAAACATTTCTGGAATGAAGCAGAGGCAAAGCTCACTGGGAGGACTGAGGACACTCTGCTGAGGCTGCAGCGCAGGCTTGACAGTGCCTTCCATCAGTTTATCAGCCTCGGTGGCTGTGGGCCCACTCTGGGGAGCTGGCATCTTCTGCTCGGAGAGGGATTGTTTGATTTGGAGCCTGTTTTCACTTCACCACAAAAATGAGCGACTTTTTTTTTTTCTCTTTTTCTCTCTCTTTCTAAACAAAGAAGGGCCATTTGGTTTCCATAATGCAGATCATCTGACTTCTTCCTGGAATGTCCTCTTGGGAAGCAGGGCACAAAGCCTTCCCCCTCGGCCGAGCCACGTTTGGCCCAGAGGCCATGCCAACCTTGCCGCCACTTCTGCCAAAGCCAGTGGTGCTGCGATGTTTATGGTGCCATAATCCACTCCGAGGACGACTGAGTCCCAGCTCCTCTGTCCAGTGGCAGCCATTTCACTGCTTGTTAGCACTGGGTGGGCAGAGGAGTGGGGACCAGGAGCTAGGAGACCAGTGCTTGGCTTGTTGGCAACAGGGGAAAGAATGAGGGAGGGGTGGGAGTTTGAAAGTAGAAGTTAAGGGAATTTTTAGATGATCTGTAAATATACATTTCCTTGCCTTTTACCGAAGATATTTCAGAATTCAGTGCATACAGTCGACATAGGTTAATCTAAAACATCTGTCTTCAAGAATCTAATAATCGAACAGAAGCTTGATATAAACCAGGATTTGGGGATCAATGAGTGTCATTATACTAAGTTGCCAAACACCCAAGGCTTGAGAGCTGGGCGTCCCTGAAGACAAGTACAGAGAGCACACAATGGGGCAGAGTACACACACACACACACACACACACACACACACACATCTGTATTCTCACAAACATCTATACCCACTTATACATCTAAATCCATATCTATATATTTATACTGATTTTGTCTGACACTGTATACTCATGGCTTCCTTTGACATTATTATGATTTATTGTTTACAATTTGGGACACTGTGGCTCAGAGAGATTCGTTAATTGAATTAGTGTTGCACCACTAGTAAATGTCAAACCCAGGTTTTGTTGAAGTGGCTTACCCAAGGTCAACCCAGCTTGTTTTTTTAAAGATGTAATTTAAACTAGTTAGCCATCTTACATTGTCATAATCTCACAGCAAATTTTGAGAAATAGTTAGCCTGAAGCACACTAGGAGCTGAGTCTTTTTA